CTAGGAAAAAAGAGAAAAATGAGGCGTTTTTAGTTCAATCTGGCAAGTTGCTGTGTGTCGATTGTAACTGGCTTGTCTGTCGGTTTAATAATCAAATTGCGCAAGCACAAAACATTGCGATTAATGCAGTTAATTCCGTGTGGATTGGTTTTGGTTGAAGCAGTTTCAATCATATTTACGGATACACTATTGCCGTGTTGTAGTCACGCTTAGGCGGATAATGAACTTTTGTTGAATTCAGATGAAAAAAGAGAGTGAAAGTGAGAAAGGGAAAAAAATGCCGCACAAACGGTCAGCGACACCAAGGCCACGCTGATGCTCTTTTCTATTGGACAAAGCTAATTAAGTGTTTGCATTTGCACGGCAAACAGCAGCTTAAATCTGCACACAACAAGCACAAATTTCCTCATCAGTGCAAAGCAAAAAACGTTGGCTCTCTGGTCGTCACATCATCATACATCCGGATTCATTTGAAAACAGAACAAGTTTTAATTAAAGTTTAGCAGGCAATGATACTGTGCGACAAAAAACGTAGATTTTTGCTGAATCGTTTTTTATAGTTGCACTATTTTAATTAATTAAAATTTTGAGTATTTAGTTTTTACTAAAAAGAGGAATTACACTGTTTATTTACAGCTTTTTTTGACAACGAACAATAGATAGGGTTTGTTATTCAAAAATAAGTTTAAAATTAACTTAAAAATAAAAGTTGAGTGTAAACTTAAGTAGAAATTAATTGAGCTGCAAGCTGGTTAAACTTTAAAGTTGCAGTTAATTTAAACTGTTTGAAACTTTTAAGCTTTATTTTGCTATTTTTATGCTAAAAACGGATCAACTAAAGTTTAAAAAATGTTAATACGAATTTAATTGTTTTTTAATTAAGGACCCTATGGACATTATTAAGAGTTGAAATATTAATTTTGAACAGTAATTAATTTGCAATTTAATCAAATGCCCTGCAGATAAAGCAATTTTTAGTTGAAGAGTTTTGTCCATTGTTCTATTTTACTGTTCAAAAGTTTTATATATTTTTAAATTTAAAGTAAAACGCTGAATAGTAATGATTTGTGTTGTTCAAAAAAATTTTTTTGTTATATAGTTTTTGACTATTCAAAAACAATAATTACAACCTAAGCACAATTTAAGCATTAGATGTTGCTTTATAAGTTTAGATTGATTGTGTTTGTATGTATCTGGTTTCTACAAAACAACACTTGGAAAAAAGCTAGAACTAAATGGTTGGCAAATAAAAATAATTGAATGCACACTTTTACATCTTTTGACCATTTATAAAGTGACTTGGCTTTGTGTGGCATCTTTTTTTAAACAAAGAGTCTGTTTAGTAAGGACATAAAGGAAAAAGTGTGTGTTTTTTAAAATAAACTGCACAGTATCTACTTATTAAATTGCTAGCCGATTCGGGTTTTTATTTGGTTTTTCTCCAAAAACCGTTATGATCGACAGGCAAAGAGAGAGAGAGAGAGAGACAGGCACCCAAGACACAAGCAATAGAAAAAGAGATGGAATGAATGAGAAGACTGACTAAAAGACGAATGAAAGAATTGAAGGGATCAAATACGAAATATGAAATAGTGCACCAATCAATTGAAGATGACAAGAGATATTTGCAGCGCCGACATTAGCACAGACACACACACACTAACACACTGACAGTGCTCTGGCGACACACAATGGTACAATGCATTTAGCGGTAGCGAACACACAGACACAGACACATTCATTATTGATGACATGACAGAACACTACTCACTACTGATAGCTCCCTCACTTACTTTTCCTGTGTGAAAATGGTAGATGAAAAAATGTGTAAAGAATGAAACACAAATTAGAAAGCCAAGTTTAACGGAGGTTTACAATTGAACTTTTCTTTTTTACCACAAACTGGTGATGCCCCTGCATACCACAGCACTGAAGAATATGAATGCCAAATGTGGCTTAAGGCTGCTTTTAGCGGAAACATGAACTCGTTGTCTTCTTCAAAAGGGACTCATTGAGAAGCACTATCAAAGCCAATGACATTGCTTAGAACTGTTTGCCAGTACCTTACATTTTTCTTTCGAAATTGGTCAAAAGTCTGTGTTTACTTTGTGAAATGGGAAACTGCGTGTACTGAGAATGAAAACAATAAAATAAAAAGGAAAAAAACATTACACATTTTGGGTGACATGAGTGGAAAGAAGTTAATGCACAGAAGCGACAGTGTAAGGTCTTCACTACTGTGATCACAAGCGGCGGAGTCTTCCAATGCTAAATTATTAAGTACATGTGTGTCTAAAAGTGCACGATCAGTGTACAGAGGAAGAGAAGAACAGCGCAGAGCAAGAAACTGACAGTGCTGATGCGAGGAGAAAAGAGGAAAAAAGACAAAACAGATCGATTGCTAAAGCTAAATGCAAATGATTTAGTAGACTGGCCTTGTCACAACTCTCAATTCGATGCTAGACTCAGTGAATGTTTCCTGTTCTAATTTAGTGACAGGCATGCTTCCAGAAGAAGGAACAAAGAAGGAGAATGGGTAGATAGTGCCAGAGGAAAAGTGTCAGCAGTGGAAATAATTAGAAGGAAAGGAAAGAGAGCTGATGTGCTCAGTGCTCGATGTCAAGTGAGTTGCACTCACTCTGACTGACTGTACACTTTGCCCCATTTTAAAATGCAACTCGAGAGGGAGACAACTGACAAAAGAGGGACACCAGTGGCCTCGGTTCTCATCTTCTCACTCTGGCCACTACCAGTGATAGAGACTGTCTGCAGTTATTATGAGAATTAATCACTCGGCTAATTCGATTACAGCGGACAGAGTGTGTGGCGCCAGCAAAAGTAGATGAAGAGAAAGATGAAAAAAAAGTGGAAAGGAAAGAGGAAAAAGTGGCGGACGAGTGAGCGCGTTTACTTTGCGAAAATTAAATTCTTGCCACCATGAACGCCTAGCATTTGAACGACTGCAAAAGGGAAAAATGAAAATAGAAAAAAAATCAAACGGACGAATCGCGTTTCTCGTTCGTGTTCTGCAGCGATAATAATTAAGTTTGACGTGCTGCACTTTTCACTTTTGATGCTTTTTCTTTCGTTGTCACACAGTCAGGCTGATGACAATGACTGCTTCTTTTTTCTCAGAGCTTTACTAGGCATTTTAAAATGCTCCATTTGCACTGTTATAGAGATTTGATTTTGTTTTTATAAAAACAAGATGATTTTTGTTTATAGAAAATCACATAAAAGAAGTTTTGAGCAGCAGAATGACTGAATAGATTAAAACAAATTGACAACAGTAAACATTTAGTCAGTAATGAAATAATCGCACAAATAAAAATAAGTTTTGATGATAAACAAATATAAAACAAGAAACTAACTGTAGTAGCTACCAAAACTGTAATTGTAGATGCACTTGACAACAGCAGAAAAACATTACACATCAAAAAAGAACTGATTGCACGACAATAACGACACTATCAAAACTGGTGTTTGAAATTGACAAAAAAATGAAATGTAAAATAGTAAAAAGCAATAAATTTTCAAAAACTGAAATATAGGGCAAATTCGATTCCGGGGGAAAAGAGGCAATAGGAAACAAGAACACAAAAAGAAAGAGAACACGAAGCGGATGACACTGTTTTGGCAATTGTCGAGACAAAATGCCCGTTCACTGAATGTATCTGCAGCCTGGCAACAACCATCGAAAATTCACACATTCACTTACAGTACACGCGTTTTATTTTTTTTGTTTTCATTTTTCGGGCAAACAAGTTTTAAAATTGAATTGTGATGTGCCAAAGACAGTTATGACAAATTTGTTATTGCATTCTAAAACAGTGACAAAATCAAAAGCTCGTCTTGTACTTTTTTGCTCCCAAAGGAAAACCTAGATCGACCAAATGCAATTCACTTCTGTGTTTAGTTTTTTCTGCTCAGGCGTTCACTTTCAGATCATCATTATTATTTATTGGCCATTCTGACAAACGGCCACTTTAATGAATGACACTTTTCCTGTCAGAGAGAAAAAGGGGACTACACTGCATTGTATTGAAACAGCCAAACACTGCAAAAAGTGTGTTCACTTGGCTTACTCATACCGAATCCCCCAATGGTCTTGAAAGAAACTCCATTTTATTGAGTGTGTTACAGAAAGAGCGACAGCAAAAAAAGATAGGCGGAAATCCAAAACGATTTACTAGAGTTTGACATTTTTTACTGCTTTCAGATTGTTCAAATGCAATTTTTTACTGTCTGCGGTCGAGGAGATTCGGCATCTGAGTTGAACTACTGTTATCAAGTGCACTTCTTTATTTCTCAAACACGTTTTTCCCCCAGACAAGATTGACTACTTTTGACCAATTGACTGCTGTTCTTCTTTTGCATGCACATACAACAAGTAAGACGCACTAGTGGCCTGATTTTGTTAGGTCCTAAAATCGAGATTTGAAAAGTGTGTGCGTTTGTCGCATTACCATGCCAAAGGGAGATGTGCCTCCCTGCCGTTCGCTCTGCCATCCATTATCTATTTATCGAGTTGCCTTTCCCTTCATTGTTATTAAATGGTTGTTAACATCATCCCTGTTCAGTTAGTCACTGGTGCCTGCCACTGTTGGTGGGCTCAATTCGATGCAGTGCCACTGTACACAACGGCGCAGCAATTACCCTACCATGATGGTCACACTGGTCGATAGTACTAGGCCACAGTTTCAGAGGATGATGATGATGATGACGACGACAACGACAAACATGGTGCCATCATTACCAGCACAGACACTGTGATGGTCGACCCTGGAAGATGACTTGCTCCAAAAAAAAAAATAGAGCGCATTCTCTGCTGCGGACATGCTGCAAAACGTTTAGAGCAACGTTTGATCTATTTTTTGCGTATAAAGTCATTAAAATATTTTTGCCCTGTCAAGGACGCTACCATGGTTGACTGACAAACACACAAACTGTTTTTCTTTTGTTAAACGTCCACTAATATATTTTCTTCCATTTGTTTTCAGATTTGTCTTTCCGTTGCAAGTGTGATCCATCGTCAGCAGAGGACGCCGCAGCTGCAAAAACAACATCCGCATCACTTGGCCAACAGCAGTGCTGCATCAATGGCGGCAATAGCAATCTACAGCAACAGTCCCCGAGCAGTTGTCCAGCATCCACGTCCAGTCACCATCACTGCCTTCAGTTCAAAGCCATTCAGAGTTGTCACTGTCACGCTGCAGGCTGTGGCTCACACTCCAAGTCAAATTGCCTCAACAACAACTGCACTCGAATGGAGGAGGGGGATCAGGAGGAGGAGGAGGAGGCAGACACCGATGAAGATGATGGCGAGGAAGAGGAGTTGAGTTCGGATAATGATGACGAAGAGGGAGAGGAGACAAAGTGCAATTCGAATGTTGAGGAGGAGGAAGAGGAAGAATCAGGAGAGGAGGAAGGCGATGATAATGAAGAGACGGATGAAGATGAAGACGATGAGGAGGACGATGAGGAGGAGGAGGAAGAGGAGGATGAGGAGAACCTCAACTGCACGGCAAATAGCTTTCCGATGCGCACTATTCATCACCACCACCACCATCACCACCCCCAGCGAGGCGGATCAATGATGACCGACGATGAGGATGAGGATGACGAGGAAGACACTTGTGCAGAAAATCAGAAGGAAGAGGAGGAGGACGGCATGGCATCCTGTCTGCGTGAGATGGAGTTCTTTGCCTGTAACGTCTGCGACCGAACGTACCGCACCGCTCGGTGTCTGGCAAAGCATCAGGTGCACCGACGTCACTTTGGCTGCTCCATCTGCGACACCGTCTTTCCGACGCTGCTCTCCCTGGAACAGCACAAGCACACCCTGGAGCACTGGTCCGAGGATGAGGATGACGACCAGTCGACGGTGTCACTCTCGTTGAGCGGCTCCACCAGCCGCCACCACTGCTCGGTGACCGGGGTCACTCAGCAACAGCGAAACAGCAACAACAACAACAACAACAACAACATTACCAACTCCTGCTCCTCTTCAGCACCGTCCATTGTGCGCCAGCACAACCACCCAGTGATCAGCAGCACCGGCTACCCCTCTGACGCCCTGCACCAGCACAACCACCGCCTCCACAGCTCCTCTGAGCAGCCTCTGTCCTCCGGCCGACAGCGAGTGGTTCGCCCTGGTGGCGCCCAGAAGGACGACCGGTCACAGGAGGACCGCCAAGCGACGAAGCTCAGTCTGCAGAGCACCACCATTGCCGGTCAGCTGGAGGGCAAGTGGTCGCCGACGTTGAACTTTGGCAGCCGCCACCTGGGAGGAGGTGGTGCACCACCGACCACTGGCCATCATCTGAGCTGCATCAGCAGCAGCATTGCCAACAACAAACCGATCAGCCTCGGCAACGCCATTCGCCGAACATCAGCTGAACAGTTGAACACTGCGAGCGTTGACGTTCACAGTCGGACAACTCTGCGTACAGCTAAGCCAGCAGTGGCCAACTCCAAGCCAACTCCAGCGCCGTTGTCCAGTCTGAGCAGCAAATTGATGGCCTCCGTATTCAACTTTTCCTCTGCCGTCTCCACTGACCTGGAGGCGATGAACTCCAAAACTAGTAGTAGTAGCAGTAGTAGAAAGGGGCAAATGAACACTTCTGCCCATCAGAACA